AGCTGTGTTGGCTCATGCTGCTAAAAATGAATGCTCCACAGGCTGGGACCACATGAGAGTCCCGGGTTCGACTCACAGTTTGACATAAAGGCCAGCGTGATGGTGTTCACATGTAATCCCAGCAATTCAGGGAAGCTGAGGCAGGCGGAGGAGTGCTCAAGGCCGGCCTGGGCACTATACTAAGACCTGTCTGAAACAGAGCAAGGTGGGCAGGCTGGTAGCCTGGTAGGTAAGACAGCTGGATCCCACATGGCCAGCTGTGCTGGTTTGGTCCTGGACCTGGCGGCTTGTGAAACATGCTGGGTGTGTATGCATGTACATCCAAAATCCCAAAAGGAGGGAGATATGGGAGAAGGGATTGCAGTGTGACTACCCCTCATGGGGGAGTGCTTTCTTCTCTCCCTCTCTCTGGCAGGTACACTTGCCCTTTGGCAAATCTAAAAGAAAATTCTTTTCAAAGAGTCAGGCATGGGGGCCAGCAGGTGGCATAGTGGTTAAGGTAGCTCATCCAAAGATAAGGACTGGACTCCTGGTCGACCGTGGTTCAAGTCCCGTACCTGGCAGCTTGCTTTCTCACTTTCTCACTCTCTCCCTCTCTCTGTGTCCATCGCTGGTCAAATTAAAATAAATAAATAAATAAATAAATAAATAAATAAATAAAAAGTTCAATAAAATAATTATTGATAAAAAAGGAGTCAGGCATGGTGATGTCCCCTGACCTCCCAGCTGGGAGGCTGAGGCAGGAGGATATATTGTTTTGTTTTTCTCTTCAGGTTTTTGCCGTAGGGCACGTACATTTGCTGGAGAGAGCCAGGGAGAGACAGGAAGAGGGAAAGTGAGAAATCAGCCCCAGGAGGAATGGCTGAAATCGCTTTCCTCTGTTCTCTTCCTGAGGTTTTGGGCACGTACACATGCACATGTGCCTGGCATGATTTTCAAACCACTGGGTCCAGGACTCATACCGCTGTCAGCCACATCAGAGTCCTGCACCTTAAACATCATTCCACCTGCTGGCCCCTACAACAGTGTCTTTAAAAAATTTTTAAAAAAAGAAAGCGAAGTCTCTATTTGTGGTGAGAAACTCTGGATTTGAATCCTGATCCTGCTACATCCTAGCTCCTTATCTTTGGATGAGCTCCCTAATCAGGTCTTGGTTTCCATCTCTGTCATCAGGGGTACCGTTAGTACCTAACCCTGAGAGTTTGTGGGGATGTAAATAAGAAGATGTGCACGAGTGACTTAGCATTGTGTCTGAGTGCCCGATAAATATGAATGTTACTATTATCATAATTATTACAATGACAACAGTCAGACTTTTGACCCCTAGAGGGCGAATTTTATAAAGTACTTCTAGACTAATAGATAATATCATGTTTTCCTTAGAGAGAGTTTTTTTTTTTTTTTTACCACAGGGCATGTGTGCTTGCTGGAGAGACAGAGACAGAGAGAGAGAGAAAGTGAGAAATTACCCCCCCACCTTAAGAAGGATGGCCGGTCCACAATCCCTTTTCCACTCACGTCTTGGGATTTTAGGCATGCACGCACATGTGCCCGGCATGAGTTTCAAGCCTCTGGGTTCCAGACTTGACCCGTGGTCAGCCATGGGGGAGTTTAGCACCCTCCATCTGCTGGGCTCCATGCTATTATTTTTTTTTTAGTCACAAGGGTCTTGAAAAAAATCATTCAGTGTTTTGCTTCACCCAGAGGGCCAGCAGATGGTATGGTAGTTAAAGCACTGGATCCTACATGGCCAGTTCTGCAGTTTGAGTCCCGGACCTGGTGATTTGAAAATCATGCCGGGCACATATATGTGTATGCCCAAAATCCTAAGAGGAAAAGGTATTTCAGCATGACCATACGTCCTGTGGGTGATTTCTCACTTTCCCTCTCTCGCTGTCTCCTTTTTTAAGGGAAAAAAGAAAATCTAAAATAAAAAATTACCCAGAGAAGCTTTTAAGAAATACTGCTAGCTGAGCCAGACCAAAGAATTCTTGTAGTATGGATCCTTTCAGATGAAATTCTAGAAAAGACAAACCTACTCCGTAGGGACAGAAAGCAAATTGGTGGTTGCCAAGGGATGAGGTTGAAAGGACTGAAAACTGGGACCAGCAGTTAGCATAATGGCTATGTCACTGGACTCCTATATAGTTGACTGTGGTTCGAGTCCTGGACCCCGCGGCTTAAACTCACGCCGGGCGCGTGTGCATACATGCCCAAGATCCCAAGAGGAGAATGGAGGAGAAGGGATTGCGGCATGGCCATCCCCCCTGGAGCGTGATTTCTCGCTTTCTGTCTCTCTGCCTCTCTCTGTCTTTCTGGCAAACGCATGTGCCCTATAGCAAAATAAAATAATAAAATAAAAAAGAAAGGACTGAGCTAATGGGCAGAAGGAAACTCTCTGGGGTGAGGGCAATGCTTTCTGTTTTAATCACGGCGGCATGCACATTTGTCAAAACTCTTCAGCACTGCCACTTAAAATGAGCGCACTGCATCCTGTGCACAGTACATTGTCTAAAAGAGGAGGCCGATGCCGGGTCTCGCCCGTACAAGTTCTGATGAGTTGTTCTGCCGTGAAGCCTGGAAATATGTTTGTTCCCAGTTTGCCATAGGCCCATGCCCTAGCTGGAGAGACACAGAGAGAGAGGGAAAGTGAGAAATCACCCCGGGGAGGGGCTGCGGGGGGATAGCAGGCTGCAGTCCCTTCTCTGTTCTCCTTTCAGGATTTCGGGCATGCACTCACACAGGCCCAGCATGGTTTTTTCAAACTACCAGGTCCAGGACATAAACTGCGCTGTCAGCCTTAACCTTCATGCCACCTGCTGGCTAAGAAATCATTCTTTCTTTCTTTCTTTCTTTCGTTCGTTCTTTCGTTCTTTCTTTCTTTCTTTCTTTCTTTCTTTCTTTCTTTGAGAGGCTTTTGCTATAGGGCGCATGCACTTGCCGGAAAGACAGAGAGAGGCAGAGAGACAGAAAGCGAGAAATCATGCTCCAGGGGGGATGGCCATGCCACAATCCCTTCTCCTCCATTCTCCTCTTGGGATCCTGGACATGTACACACACGCCTGGCGTGAGTTTAAGCCACCAGGTCCGGGACTTGAACTGCGTTCAACTACATGGGAGTCCAGCGACATAGCCATTACACTCACTGCTGGTCCCAAGAAATCATTATTTTTTTTAAGGCATCAGCTTTGCATTAAGAGCTACTCATCTAATCCAACCCTCTCTTCTTCCAGGTGAGACAAAATAAATACAGTTGGTTATGGTGGAAGGGCCAGCGCTGGAAACGGAGACTGGTTTCTAGGTTCTTTGAGTTCCAGATTCACCTAGGGACAACATTATCTCTGCCTGGGAGAGTGTTCTCCTCCTGCTCGCTGCTCTCTGCGCATATCCCACCTCATTCTAGAGCCTAGTTCATTATCACACTTCTCAGGAAGCCTTGAGATACAGCTCCCCCCACTGGACAGGAGGTGCTCTAGTTATTAAGTAACTGATGGATGGATCAAATACTGTATATCAAACAGGGTGTTTGGCGTTGAGCAGATGTTCAGTAAATGTTTGTTGAACCAAAAAGTTGGCAGAAGGGTATTAACATTTATTAAGTGCCCGTGGAGTGCCAAGAAGGGCAATAGCATTTTACACACAGTATCTCACTGAATTTTTACCACAGTTTCATGAATTGGTTATCATTTTCCCCTTTTGTAAGGGAGGAAACAGGTTCAGAGAGGTTTGGCAATTTCCCCAAGTTCACACAGCAAGCAAGTCGTAGAGCCAAGGTTTGCACTTAGGTCTGTTTGTTTTGAAAGTTCACCCTTTATCACAGGCTGCCTCACTTATGCTAGCTATTGCATTTAAGCCTTAAATGATGAATTTCATGGACTCTTATCTCCTCAACTAGTCTCTAAGCTTCGTAAAGATGAGAATTAAAGTTTAGTATTTATTTATTTTTTAAAGGATTATTTATTTAATTCCATTTTTAAAAAATTATTTATTTTATGTATTCATTCATTTATTTCTTAATTTGACCAGAGAGAGACAGAAGGTGAGAGTGAGAGAGAGAGGAAGTGAGAAAGCAACCCACCAGATTCAGGACTCGAACCCTGGTCAGCCATGTGAGAGTGTCCAGCACCTTAACCACCACGCCACCTGCTGGTCCCAATTCCATTTATTTTTATTATTATTTTTTCATTTGGCTAGATAGAGACAGAGAGAGAAAGGGAAAGTGAGAAAGCAAGCTGCCAGGTCTGGAACTCAAATCATAGTCAGCCATGTGGAAATCCAGCACCTCTATTCATCACCCCACTTGCCACCCCCTCTCTACTAAACTGTTTAGTATTGAAAGTACTCTCTATTTCAACTCATGCAGTAGATGATTTGGCCACTTAAGTTTATTTTTAAGAATTATTTCATTTCCAGGGACCAGCAGGTGGTGTGGTGGCTGAGGTGCTAGACTGCCACATAGCTGACCATGGTTCAAGTCCTGAACCTAGAGGCTTAATCCTCACTTTCCCTTTCTTTCTCTCTCTCTCTCTCTGGTGAGCCCTCTAGCAAATTAAATAATAATAATAACAAAAGAATTATTTCATTTTAATTTTTATTTATCATCATAATTCTTTTTCTCCAATTTGACCAAAGGTAGAGAAAGAGAAAGTGAGAAAGCAAGCCACCAGGTTTGGGACTTGAACCATGGTCAACCATGTGAGAGTCTAACACCTTAACCACCACACCACCTGCCAGCTCCCTGGCCACCTCTGTTTTAACAGAGTTTCCAAGTTTTAACTTCATTAGAATAACAGTAAGGCTAATCCAGCAATTAAGCTCTGTAGTTTTATAACTTGCAGTTAGAAGAAGACTAGTAGACAAGGGTTATTACAGAGGGAAGTGATTCCAGCTGGGCTATTTCTGTTCTCTAGCCTTTTGCTGACTCTATGAATGATCTCCGAGTTATGCAAGCTTCGTGGATAACAGTCAGATTAAAGAGTCATACATCTCAAAGCACATACCAAAAAAATTCCTGGGATGACATTGTGTCTTTGAACCAGAAGCGGACAATTACTGCCTGTAAATTTAGACGCCGAGACAATGTTGTATTTGAGCAGACGAAAGGTATCCAAACGACTCTACAAGACAGAGAGGAAAAGGCTGTAGAGATGTTAAATGGACTAAGTCTTACTATTCATATCTACCAAATGAGCATGTCTACTAAACCAAGTGCCCTTCTCTGAGGATCAGACCTTATGCTGAGTTGCCCAATTTCTTTTTGTTCCCTCCAGAGGGCGCGCATGTGCACTTGCTGAAGAGAGACTGAGAGAGGGGGAAAGTGAAAACGCACCCACTATGAGAGACGGTCATACTGTTAACGGATGGGAGAGTGTTGAGCTGCGTTGTGAAATCCTTGGTTCTTTGGGTCCAGATCACTAAAATTAGAGATCTGTCCCTAGGCGCAAAATGAAACCGCAACCACGAATGAAGTAGATAGAAAAGAAGGTTTAATAGAAAGAAAGGAAAGGAAAGAAAGGAAGTACACCCAAAAGGCTTTCAGGCGGGCAGATTGCCAGGTGGCAACTGTGCTTGATACTGGTTAACTGTTACTTTTATTACTAGAGGTGATGAATATTCATTATGGGAGGCCCCTTACCTTGCCTATGTTCTTCCTTTAAATTTGAATCCACACGTTTTCTCCTGCACCTGCGCACCTTCCTCACAGGCAAAGTGAGGAACTTGATCACCTAATTGTGTACGCCCAGTGCAAGTCAGGTTGCCCCAATTAGATTGCCCAATTAGTTTATCGCCCTAATAGAAATCAGGGCATTAACCAAAATGTTTGCTTGGATCTTTCTGATAAGAGAAAAATCTACGGATTATCCCTCCATGCTTCCCTCAGGCCTCAAGGAAGGAAGGTGGCAAATTACCTTGCCCTCCTGGCGCCTGGGACTAGGTGAGCCTTTCGCTTTTCTCCTAGGGCTGCCCGCTCATGGCTAACTACCTACCACAATACCACAACACCTTCTCCTCCATTTCTCCTTTCAGAATTTTGGGCATGCACAGATGCATGCCCAGTGTGTTTTTGAAGTTGCTGTTTCCAGGACCCAAACTGCATAGTTGGCCAGGGGGGATCTAGCTGCTGTAAGTACCTGAACTGATACTGTGTCTTTTAGGTGCTGGGCAAGAGGTAGCACATGGGTAAGTGAGACACCTTCTGACCCTGGAAGCTCAGCCATGGATCTGACTCACATAGTTCTCCCAGCGAGGAGGCTGACCCTTCACCATGATTCTACCCTCCTGTCCATCTTGTCTGTCTCTGTCGGTGAAACTAGCTCAGCTCACAAGCCCAGGGTCCTAAAAACACCTCCAGTGAGACCAGAACTAGTGGTGACTGTGGCTGTCAGACTGAGGGAGCATTCACGTATTCATTGGCTTATTTATTCACTCAACAAACTTGTTTGAAGTGTTTACCGTGTGCTGGGCCTAGGGATAGGGACTGGGGCTACAATGGTGAGCAGTACATGGCTGTCATCTGAAACTTTCAGTCTATGGCCAGCTCAAGGCAGGCTGGGAAGGTACTCCCAGGACCCACCACACACCCTTTGTGGCTCAGGCTGCCCTTTTAGGAACTTCATCTTGTTAAACAAAAACTTCAGATAATTTAATTTAGCAGAGTTTAACTGAGCAAAAAGGATTCAAATCAGACATCCCTGGAATGGTTTCCAAGGGACTTCAGATAGCCACGTGGAGGGGTAACATTTATGTGTAAGAAAGGAAAAGTGACATACAAAAAAAATCAAAGTGAGGGGCCAGCAGGTGGCATGGTGGTTAAGGTGCAGGACTCCCACATAGTTGACCACAGTTTGAGTCCTGGACATGGGGGCTTTCTTTCTCATTCTCTCTCTCTCTCTCTTCCTCTCTCTCTCTCTCTCTCTGGTGAGTTCATGTACACTATAGCAAATTTAAAATAATAATAATAATAAATAATAAATTGTTTGAATTATAAAAAATGGAAGCGAGGGAATGAGGTAGATAATTGGATTGCTTACAGCTTGCTGTTTGCCTTCATGAACACAATTTAAAGGGCGGGCTGCCTGTGATTGTCACATAGCTGCTATGAATGGCTGTAACTTAGCAACTGCCTCAGGAAGCAGACTTCCATGTGAGGTTGTGATTTGCTTATGGGAACTAAAACAGGAGTATGGAGGCTTTTCCAAGCGAACAGACATTTTTTTAGATTTATCATTTCTATTTTTTTAAGAATTATTTTATTCAACTTTATTTATTTTATTTTTAAAATTTGAACAGATAGGGACACAGAGAGAGAGAGAGATGGTAGGTAAGAAAGCAAGCTGCTAGGCCCTGGACTCAAACCGCAGTCAGCCATGTGGGAGTCCAGCGCCCTTAACCACCATGCCACCTGCCAGCCCCTCCAGGCTAATATACTTTAACGGTCTATGCCCTCGATGCTTCCCACCAGAGAATCTGGTGATTTCCTACTGCTGATTCCAAGTGCAGTTCCACCACCATGTAGGCCTTACGGTTCTCTGGTTAGAGGGAATGGAGGAGGGAAGAGACAAGGCTGCGGTCCAGCCCTGCAACCCTTTTGGAATAGACTGGAGTTCCCAGTTGCGTTTTTTTTTTTTGGAGAGATTTTCACTGTAGGGCGCGTGCGCTCGCCAGACAGAGAGACATAGAGATAGAAACAGAAAGCGAGAAATCACCCCCCAGGGGGGATGGTCACGCCGCAATCCCTTCTCCTCCATTCTCC